TACCTGCAGGGTGATTATAGAAAAGATGGAGATGGGCTTTTTTCTGTGGCCCTAAGGGACAGGACTAGAAGCAATGGCCTCAAACTGCAGTAGGGGAAATTTATGCTGGCGATTAGGGAGGACTTCCTGACCATGAGGGTGATCAAGCATTGAACAGGCTACATAGAGAAGTTGTGGAATCTCCATGCTTGGAAACTTTCAAAAGCAGGTTGGATTTGGCTGGAATGGTTTTGTCAAAGAAGATCCTGCTTTGAGGTAGGTGACCTTGTGTGGTCTCTTGCAGCCCAACTTTCCTGTAATCCTGTGATCCTTACAATGGCCCAAGCTGCAAGCTCCCAACACAGCGGGAGCATTATTTAAAACACCTCAAAAAGCAAGGGGCGTTAGGAGTCCTGACCTGCACTGAAGCATGTTGCCAACAGGTATGAAACATTAGCCTCTAACATTAGGGGAGCTTGACAGGATGATGGCAAAATCATGTTGGGATGGAACTGAAAACATAAAACAGCCTAGTAATCAGAGTGATGTGACCTTAAAATCCAGTATCTAGGAAACTGTCTGGAACAGAAAGATGTTGGTTCAATCAGTACCAACACATTCAAGTCCAGTTACCATACCAAGCTGTAGTTCTGAATTACTGGAAAAAGGACTAAGGGGAGAAATGGATTCCCACATCACATGTCAGTTCAGCCTCTGGCAGGCAGGCGTGCACATCCTAAACCCCTATAAAATAGTCACCAACCAAACCTACTGTGGGCTGCCCCAGCACAGAAACCACAGGGTCTGAACTCCCATTTCCCTTCTACAGACAGAATTGTCAAGCTCAGGGTTGAGCGTCCCCAGCAGAGCAGTCTGTGAATTTTGCCGTGCTGCTGACTGTACTGTATCCAATCTGTGCAAAATCAAAGGGATTTAAATTGTGAGGATTGTCAAACCAGCCACTTTCACCAGCAGAAAGAGCACAAGAAACCAGAACTGTTCTTGGCAGGATTGGCTATCCATCTGTTTTCGATAAGCAGTTCTCCCAGCCAGTCAGTTCAGCTCACCCCAGCCTAAACATGCAGTTCCTCCCAAGGCCAAGCTTATTCCTGGTGTACGTCCACCTACTCTAACATACCCCAGGAAGGAATTAAGTACCACGAGCATCATTTCAGCCATTCCCCATGGGCAGGCTGTGAAATATTGGTATTTGCTTTAGTTCTGTGATTCTCAATCAGGCTGTGCATCCTGAGGTGCCTTGAGATTGTTTCGAGAGTACCACAGGGTACCACACAACGTTAGCATTGTGAGGTGTACAAACATGATTCACAAGACAAACTCCAGAGATCTCAAGCAGGAATCCATAGTGTTAAAAATGGTTTGACCTGTCAGGGGCTTTCTGAGTTCTTTGCAGCAAAGGAATTGCTCTATTATTTTTCCAGAGCCAAAAGATTGGTGAAAGCTCAGCGTTGGCATTTTCCAAGGGGAGCCTGGAGTCTAACAAGGGTTGCCTTGAGTCTGAATAGGTTGAGAACCACTGCTTTAGCTGCTAGGGGAGAGTAAGTGATGCTAGGCACGTCCACACATTGCCCTATGGCAATGTAGCTATGAACTACATCACTGTGTGACATGCTATGTTGATCTAGCAATGGTATGTCTACACATGATTGCCAGCTACACTGCTGTAGCAGCGCGCTCCCTGGCTATAGCAAGCCACTACGGCGATATAGCCAGTAAATCTAAGCGTGCACTGCCCCCACACCACAGTACAGGTGGTTACTGTGCCATATTTTAGTACTTCTGCATAGCAAGCACTAAAACATGGCACAGTAACAACATCACCATAAAGTGATGTGTAGGCATGCCCACTGAAAAGTGAGCTCCAGCCCTCCTGTATGCCCAGCATGGAGCTTGCCCCTGCCAGTCATTACAGTGCCCTCACATCTCCATTTCAGCACAGAAATCAGCTTGTTTGCTTTAAACACATACCCCAATTTTGGAGGGCTAATTTTTGAGGGAAAGGTGTATGTGGTATGTGAGTAATTACAGTAAACAGCAAAACACCAAATGTGGTGGTTAGAATTGCAGAGGCAACTGCCACATGCCAAGCCCTACCACCTTCACGTCTGTCAGAGATTAGGGACAGTCCTAATGTATTCTCTCTAGGTTCTTATCCTAGGACTAGCACTGGGACCACGCTCAACTGACTTCAGAAAAACAAATGCTCGTCCTCCCTCCTAAATGGATGCACACCAGCTTATGCACTGTAAAACCTCTTTCCACCCCCATCACCTCTGTGTGCCTTTGTTTGCTTCCCAGGACTCTGCTCCTAAAGACCACTGGGACTTTGGTACAGAGAAATGACACAATTACTACAGAGTACATTTGAGTCCAAATTTTACTCCATAGTAAATTTGGAGACAGCCATGGCCCCCTTTGAGAAAGAGGGGTACAGGTTGGGGATGGCCCCACTACATGCGAGACAGGGGAGCGGGTAGGAATGGGAGCGCATATGGCCAGAGGGGAAATGCTTTCATGGGCTGGGCAAGGGTGGTACTCTCCTCTATCAGGGGCTGAGGAAGGGAGTAGATGGGATGAGGTGGATTGCTTCTGAATGTTGGCAGGGGAGGAGGTCTTTATGGGGACATTGGTGACGAGTAGGGGTGCTGCAGGTGCATTTGCACCCCTAGATCGACCGTGCACCCCCTGAAAGCGCCAGCCATGAAACTGGAAGTATACTTCTGGTTTCGCCGTTGGCTTGGCGATCGGCCACTGAGGGAATCACTCCCTGTCGGCGATCTGGTGCCCCCCCAAACTCAGGAGGCACCAGTTGCCCATGTATGGGGGTGAGGGGAGTTTGTTCTTTTCTTTTATTCTGTTTCTTTAATTCTTTGTCTCTTTACTGTAGGGTGCCTTGAGCCTTTTTGGGAAGGGTGGCATGTAAATCTTATAAACATGACTCAAGCGCATGTAGCAGATGTGACCAGCTCTCTCATGCTAGCTACATATACCGGTCCTATTAAAAGACTTGACCTCGTGTCAAGGAGGGGCTGTTTGCATACATAGTGGAAAAGCTATTCTGGGATGAAACTGCCTGAGAACAGACACAGACACACAGCTGAAACCACGGTATAGTTACTCCAGGTGTTTTGAAGGGTAGCTTTACCTCAGAGTGGGGTGACCTATGTAAGGTGGTGCTTCATGTCTCCACCCCACTTTTACTGTGCACTAATTTGTAGTAAATGTATTGTAGTAAATGTGTTGTATGTCTGCACCCTGCTGGGCTATTCAGGGAGTAATCACAAGTAGAAGCGACAGTCCCAGGAGAAGCAGTTGGGGGCACCACTTGTCCATGGGACACTGTGATGGGTACAGGGCAACCAGTGAGTGGAGGAGCAAATGTTTTCATAGTTTCATAGTTTCTAGGGTCGGAAGGGACCTGAACAGATCATCTAGTCCGACCCTCTGCCATGGCAGGAAAGAGTACTGGGGTCAAACGACCCCAGCAAGGTGTTCATCTAACCTCCTCTTAAAGACCCCCAGGGTAGGAGCCTGCACCACCTCT